TTATGGTAAAAATCAGACATGTAGTACTCTTTGGAATGTTTTTAATTTGAAATATGTGGGATTGCTGAGTCATGTGTTCACAAGAAACTCCCATGAACTACTACCAGGGTGTTGGTGAGCAGTGAGGTTGTCAGGAGTGGGGGAGGAATAAGAAATGGATCTTGGGCTGAGGATTTAGCACAGCAATTCTGCTGCCTACCTTGCAAGCGCAAAGTCCCGAGTTTGATCCTCAGTACCCGCCCCCCAAAAGAAAGAAACAGCACTTGGGAGGCTGAGGCAGGAGGATTGCTGTGAGTTCGAGACCAGTTGGGCTACATAGTAAGTTCCAGTCAGTCTCAACTACACAGTGAGACCCTGTCTCAAAAAGCCAAAAAAAAAAAAAAAGAAGAAATGAAGCCTGATTCCCTGGATTTGAATATAATATCTATCTACTAGCTCTGTGAACTTGAACAAGTTACTTAACCTCTCTGGTCCTCACTGTTCTCATCAGCAAGATAGAAATTATGTACTTTAATGGAAGGAGCAAGGGGTGAACAAGAAAATGTTTGTAAAATACGTGAAAATAACAGGCACATGGCATATTATTGTTTGATTTTTGCGGTAGTCTTCTGCTCTCTCCTTGTGTCACTGGACTCAAATTGTTTTCCTCCTTTTCCTTGCTTGCTTGGAGACATATTATCTGAAATTATCATCTTAAGTTCACAATTTGGTGCTTAGTCTATAGATAAATGTAGAAGGAAAAACTTGTATTTGTTTGAAAAGACAACTTTTTATTCATCCTGTGGCTGTGCCCTCAACACAGTGAACCTGTTATTCGTCATGGAATGTGCTTCATGCCCGCTTACAAACATGTTTACATTAGAACATAAGAAAACTATAGCTAGGTGTTTAAGGTGATTAGGCTGTGTCATATCTGTTTAAATGTAAGTCTATACCCCCTCTCCTACTTGACTTAACCAAACCTTGAACCTTCTTAAAGGATTTTAGGAATAACAGGGTGTTTTTGATGTGTAAGCATCAAGCAGTATATTCCAGTATTCCAAGTCTGAACTTGTTACTCAATCAGGAGTGATTCTCCTCTTCAGGGACATTTGGTAATGTCTGGAGACATCTGGACTGTTACCAGTGGTGGGCTACTACCAGAATCTAGTGGGGACTGCTCCCCACTTGTAGTGCAGGGACAGCCCTATTCAGAAAGACTTAGTGAACCTAAAAGATCAGTCATGCCTGGTCTAGACAGTAATTCTGGAGGGGCACATCCAGATGATTCCTGATTTATGATGGGCTTATGTTCCAATAACCCCTCTTAAATTGAAAATATTGTAAGTCAAATGTGCATTTAATACAACACACTTTGGACATCAGATCTGAGCAATGCCACACACTAAGGGTATCGGTCATTTCTCCTGGTGATTGTGTGGTTCACTGGGAGCTGCCCTCAAAGCCACTGCCCAGCATCACAAGAAATGATCATACTGCATATCACTAGCTAGGGAGAAGATCCAAATGCAAAATTTGAAGTCTTTTTTTTTTTTTTTTTTACTGGATGTGTATTGCTTTCACATCATCATAGCGTTAAAAAAAAAAACCTGTAGGTCAAACCACCAAAGTCAGGTACATGGAAATATCTGTGAGCATATCTCCAGCTCTTCATGAAGCCAAGAGTCTGAAAACTTACCCTTAAGTATCCCCTGGATAATAGTTCACAGCTGTTTTACCCACATTGTCACTCCGGCTTTAACTCATGAACTGAAAGAACTTCCAGCATCTTGATCAGATGGGAGAAAGAACTGGACCTCACAAATATGTGTCACATGTATTATTTCACTGTTTTGTCCTAATACTTATTGTTGACTGTCTTTGCATACCCTTATATCTGCACAGAATTATGACTAACACCTTTCTGTAAGTGAGGTTTGTCTCCTACGATCTGAGGTCAAGATTCAAAGATCATTTTTAAAATTTGATTGTATCTAAGTTTCATTTCATAAAGACACTTTTTATAGTTCAAGCTTGCTTGTCTGTAGACTTTTCTTGTTGGGTCATCTCTGTTAATCCAGTTACTGAGAGTAAAAGATTGATTTAATACTATTGTATCAGTTTACCAATATGTGTTGTGTGCTCTGTGGGTCCTCAGTGTGGAGAGCTTTCCCTGTAGCCTGGCTTTGCTGAGTAGCTGCTCTTGCAGGGTAGAGGCATCTTGTGAGGTGGCAAGAGAGATGCCAGGCAGGAGTGTGTGGCCCTTGTCACTCTGCGAACCCCGACCATCTAGTCTTCAGTCTGGTGTTGACTTTGTGCGGTATTGGGAAGTGTATATGTGGCTTTAGATTTATGGAGGTGACCAATATGGAGAGATGAAGGCCCTTAAAGAAATTGTTCCTAGCCGGGTGTGGTGGCGCATGCCTATAACACCAGCACTTGGGGGGCTGAGGCAGGAGGATAGCTGTGAGTTCAAGTCCAGCCTGGGCTACATAGTGAGTTCCAGGTCAGACTCAACTACATAGTGAGACCCTGTCTCAAAAAAAAGAAGAAAAAAAAGAAATTGTTCATCATCTTTTCTATGTGGGCCCACAGTGGGGGTGGGACAGTCTCTCTCTGGATCTGTGAGTCTCCCGAAAATGTTAAACTGAAAGATACATAGTCAGGTGTGGTATTATAATCCTGTATTCCCAGCACTCTGGGGGGCTGAGGCAAGAAGATTACAAATCTGAGCCCAGGGCTGGGGATTTATAGCTCAGTGGTTCTGCTGCCTGATTTGCAAGTATAAGGTCCCGAGTTCAATCCCCAGTACCAAAAAAAAAAAAAAAAAAAAACCAAATCTGAACCCAGCCTGTGACTTACTGATGTAGCAAGACCCTTTTTTAAAATTAAAAAAAAGGGGGATGAGAATGTAGCTGAGTACAAAAGCCCTGGGTTCACTCCCCAATACCAGGGGGAAAAGTGGTACAGAAAATTAAAACAACGTAAGTAATGCACAGGAAACCCGAACTAATCAGATGTAAAGAAGTGACCTGTGGTAACTGCACTAACAGAGACTGGTGCCTAAACCAGAATGTGTAGTTACTAATTTGTGCCTGAATCATTAAGTCTGCTTACCAGAATAATGAGGAAGCTCATTAGCAGAATTTCAGAACTGGTCTGCTTTGTGGGGTACTTGGAACAAAGGTTGACGTAGTATACCTGTGCCATGCGGGGACCTGATAAATCCCTTTGGACCCTCCCGTGACTACTCTGTGCCTTTGCATTGCTTTCATCTTCTCACAAAGGACTCTTGCAGTTGATGAGACTTCAGACCCAAACAGTATACACCTTCGTTCTGCCCTCTCTAGGCTGATGCTCAGGTCATTGTGGCTGGGATTCTGAATGTTCCCCAGCCCTGTGGCCTGGCACCTTCACAGATGACTTGTGCAGCTTGTGTATGCAGAGCGTTGCCAGTGCAGTTCCCAGGAGCTCATTTCCCATTTCCAGGTAGACCCTGGAGGTGCCTGGACTCAGTGAGGAAATTCTCATGAAAAGCCCCTGAAGAGCTCATTTCAAGTCCTGTAATGCTTTAAACTGGCTGTGTGACCTTCCTGCACCTCAGTGTTCTTTGTTGTAAAATGAAAGGTTGGGGTCGGTGACCTCTGAGGTCCCCCCAGCACCGTCCTGCCTAAGAGTGGCTGCATTCCACACAATGTGCAGTTTGATTGTGACAATTGCAGACATCACACGTGCAACTTATTATCATCCTCATCTCTTTTGATATTCTTGAGCTTTTCCATCTCCGTAGGGGAGACATTGCTGACTTATCGCACAGTGACATCATGTCCTGTATCTTAATTTCTGAAGACAAGGCATTGTGCTGCTGCAGGCTCAGTGCTGATAATCAAGACTGTATGTTCTGCTTACTGTGACTTTTTTGTGGTTTCTGGGGGGGAAATGCAGATGCTTTTCAATTATTCTAAGGGAATTTTGATTAACCCCCTGGGTAGAGTTCTCTGTACCACCTGCCACGGAGATGCTAGTTTTATTGAACAGAAGGTATAGAATTGAATTGCTCTTATTTGTTTTCTTCCTAGTGCCTATGGTATTATTTCAAGTTTAAGCATTTTAATAAATATTGAATAAGTATTTGTCAAAAACAGGTCAAAGCTGTTATAAATTAAGCCTCTTTTCTTCATTTTCAAATGCAGATAAGTTAATTTGACTTTTAAGTGAAATTCCAAGTTAAAGACTCATGTTTTTCCTTTATGTGTGTAAAAAGTAATGTTTTTTTTTTGTTATTTGTCTGTGGCACTGGGGATGGAAGCTGGGGCCTCACATGTGCTAAGCATGTCCTGGCCATTGAGCTACATCTCCAGTGCCAGTGGTTCCTTTTTCCTTAGTAAAGCCAACACCCTGCTTTAGGGACATATTCTAAGTATTAGCCCTCAGAAGCAATTTTCTTGAATTTATAGTAGCACTGCTGTTTTTGTTGTCATTCTTGCAGGTGTTTTGCTTGCTTACTCTTCTTTCTCTCGTGTGTCCATGTTTACCTTTTGCCTATGTGCTTGATCTGTAGAGAAGTTTCAAGTAGATGTTTCAATGAACTTTTAAAAAGTTTTATTGAGAAGTGTGCAAATCAGTAGTTTTCAGTCTATTCCCAGAGCTATTCACCATCATAGTCAGTTTTATAGCATTTTATCATCTCAAAAAAAAAGCACCATGCCCCATACCAGTCACCCCATTTCCTTTGTCTGGAAGCTATATTTTTTATTAAGTTTATTGATACTTTTTAGGTATACAGTACAGTTACATTCATCACTGAAATCTTGTACCTTTACATGACAGGTCTTGATTCTTATTTTTTCCCCATACCATTGCCCTCTCTTTACCTCCTCCACCCTTTCCTGTTAACAAAGATTTTGTTTCCATTTTTTCCTTTTCTCATATTATTTCTTTTCCCTTCTTTCCTTCCTTTTCCATACCCTTCCCACCTTCCCACTTTCCCTACTCCTTTAGGCCTTTTCTTCCCATTTCAAAAAAATATGGAAAGCTTCACAAATTTGCATGTCATCTTTGTGCAGGGGCCACGCTAAATTTCTTTGTATCCTTTCAATTTTCATATATGTGCTGCTGAACCAAGCACTTTTTTTGTATGTATGTGTTTGCTCATTCTGTACATTTCAGACACCTGGAATCTTACAATATCTGTTTTGAGTGACTTTCACTTAGAATACCATTTTCAAAGATTTGTCTGTGTTGTAAAACGTAAGTTCTTTATTCTCTTATATATGTGAATACCATAACAACATGACTGTGAATAGTATCAATGTATGAATGTACCATATTTTGTTTATTCTTAAATTGATGGGCATTTGAGTTGTTTTCATCCTTTTTTGTCCGGTTTGAATAATACTGCTATGAATCTATACAAGTTTTGTGTGAACACATGTTTTCACTCTTCTTGGGTGACACCTAGAAGTAGGATTCTGGGATCATTGGTATCTCTATGCATAACTTTTTAAGGAACTGCCAGGCTGTTTTCCAAAGCAGCCGCACCATCTTCACCCAACAACATATGAGTGACTCAGTTCCTCTACATCCTCACCAGCACTTGTTATTGTCTGTCTCTTTTATGATAACATCTTGGTGGATGTGAAGACAAAACTCACTTTTAAATATTCTCTGTGTAGGCTTCCTCCTTGTTCCCTGGAAGTCATAATTAATGCAGAAGTAGCCCAAACTGCATATTAATTACTTTGTTTTTTAAAGCAAACCTAATTCTCACAAAACAACAAAGAACATACATTTTTGATGAATATGTATTTCTAGTACATTGTTTCTCTTCATTTCTCAAAATGTTTTTGCTATTAACTGATTCCTTACATTTTCATAGGCTTTTTTGCCAGATAATACCACATACTATGCAGGTAGGTCATGATATAAAGTGAGGGAAAAGAAATAAACAGCATACAAGAGAAAGTTTATGCTGTCCATGTATTTTAAAAATGGGAATCTTATAACATTTTGAGATTTAAACCAACAGTAATATTTCTTGGTCATTAGTAGGCACTTCTTATTGCCTGTGAGCTGGTGTTTTGCCTTGAAAAGTCAAATCGTGAAAACACTTATCAGTGCTTACAATCCTAGGGCTCTAATTCCTTAGAATTTAGATATAAATCCTGTTTGACAGTACACCTTACAAGCATTTGTAAGGCATAGAATAACTGACACCATATTTATTAAATACTAATATTGTAAAGAAGAAAAACATAGCATCTTTTATAGTCACTAGTTCAAAATTAGCCCAAGTAGGGAAGAAAAAGTTTTGTTTTTTGTTTTTTTTTTTTTTTTGGTACCCAGGATCAAACTCAGGTCCTTGCACTTGTGAAGCAGGTGGCAGAACCACTGAGCTATATCCCCGGACCCTGGAAAGGAAAAAAATCTTGTCTCCCCACCAGTGTTTGTCTTGGTTTGCTTTGCATATCTCTGACATTGAGATGGTTAGTCTTCAGTCATTCAGAGGATTTGTTGGGTATCTTTTATATGCTAAACAGTTTTGTAGGTAATGGGGAAATGGATCAATTTCAATAGGTCAGAAATCAGAATCACGAGTGACTATCCAGGGGCAACTACCTGGTGTATGCCATGCAGCTAACCACACAGTCTAACATGTACATGAAATCACCATTCTTTGTTCTTCTTTGCAAAATTGAAGGATTCAGAGGTCAAGCCTCAGAATACCAGTTAGGAGGTGTGGCAAAGAAGTTGAAAACTGAAGACTTTGGATTCTGAAGTTTGTCACTTTTATTCTATTTGGTAGTTTTAAATTTCTTATGTAATTGTAAATATTTTGCTTCCTTTCTTTAATCCTGGTTGGAATCATCTAGTTATTGCTTCAAGCATGTGTCCCATATATTGTATCCCATAATATATCCCATCTGTTTGTATATAAAGGGCAATTTACAGGGTAATGATGGAGGGCACCTGCTTTAGAGTCAGGCAAATACTGATTTATTGACTATTTGATTTAACCTCATTTACTCTTTGTCAGCACTGTTTCCTGGTCTGTAAAATACCATCTACCTTGTTGGCTAGGGTGAGAATTAAATGGGAAAATGCACGTATAACACCCAAGTATAGCTCTTGGCACCATGTAATCACTTAGTTGCTCTAACTAGCATTGTGGAAATATATTTCACACCCAAGAGTAAAGTCTTATTTGCCTTTTTGAGACAGGATACTAGGAACTTTCTAGTTGCCATAGCTGTTTCCTGTGGGTAACTAATTTAGATCTAGAGTATCTCTAGTTCCTATCTGAAACTCAGTAAGCAAGAAAATACCACAAAACATTATTTTATTTTTTGCATGCTTACAATTTGATATATATTGTACAACTTCCCTTCTCAGTGATAAGTATAATTTTTGCTGCATCAGAACTGAGTGTTAAAAATCCATGGCCTGAGGCTGGGATTGTAGCTGTATGGTAGAGCTCTTGCCTGGCATGTGTGAGACTTTGAGTTGGATCCCCAGTACAGGGACTGATTGAACCCAGGGCCTTCACACTGAGTTCAATCTCTAGCCCATTTTTTGAGTCAGGTAAATTGCTAAGCAGACCAGGCTGGGATCAAACTTGTGATCCTCCTTCTGTAGCCTCTGAGTGCTAGGACTAAAAGAAACCTTGAAAATGGCTATGAGGCTGTTCTATTAGTGCAGGTGAGAGAATGCTGGGTTTTAGAGTGAGATGGTGATCATACAAATGAAGAGAAGGCAAATGATTTTTTAAACATCCAGAGAGTATAATAGCAAAGATGGTTCCTAAAAGAACTGTGGCATTCCTTGCTGAGTGACAACTTTGGACTTAGGGGAATCTCATGAGTATTAAAACAAAGGCAAAACAACTGGCAGTGTCCTAGAAAGTATACACTCGTTTGGGAGCTGCCTTCAGCTGTGTGGTCCTCCTATGGCCCCTAATCCTGGCGAAGTCTCATCCAGCAGCTCGTCCTCCTTTATTCTTGGTACATGAAAGGGCAGGTAGCTTCTCTCCTCCCAGCACTGCTGTGGCCCATCTTGTCAGCCGTGAAGAGACATTCAGAGCAGTAGCCCCTCTCACGTGCTGCAGCAAACTCAGTGGGCCAAAGCCCTTGAGGTTGTTAGCAGCTGGAAGTGGCAAGGGAGAGGTTGTCAGCGCATTAAGACCTTGCCTCTGAGCAAATTATTAAGTGTGACCCAGCCTTTGTGCAACATACCCTTATTAGCTCAGAAGCCTACAGTTCATTGCTCTTTACCCTAAAGAAGTAGAGGAGCTTCAAGGTTCATATTTATTTCCCTGTGGATTTTTTTCTTTGACCCAGGAAATTGTTCCTCTTCAACAACCTAGTTCTATCTTGTTCTCTAGAGAACAGCTTTGCGTTGCTCCATGGAGCAGTCTGTCGCAGCAGTAGCCCAGGCTACGAGGCACAGGGGCACAAACAACTGACTCCCTCAGGAGGGAGAGTGTTCATATTCTCCTTTCCTCAGACCTCAAATAAACTAATATGTGTGGCTCAAAACAAAAGCAAAAAGCCCACTCACCACAGGACCATCAAGGGGCATTCAAGAAATCTCTGTAAATGTCTTAGCTACTCTTACAGGGTATCTGACTGAGATGCTAATTACACCAAACTGAAAGACGAATCTGTTAAAGCTTCCATAAATTGGAAAAAAAGCTTCATAAATTGGAAAAGCTTCTATAAATTGAAGCTTTATTAAATTCAGGAGCGCACCGACTGTATCAGTGCACTGAGTACATGAAACCTTCCCAGTGTCCGGCTTGGCAGTGCAGGACACTGGAGCATCACTCACTTCCCTCTGTTACTGGGGGCTGGGGGCTGCACTCACTGGCAGGGTCATGACAGTAACTGCTGCATAGCACTACTCTAAGGAGAGGTCCAGATTCAGAATTCGAAATTAGGTGTTTGCTGAGTTGTGTTGCTTTTGTACTCTTAGCTCCCTGACATTTGGCGCTTAAGCCCAAGCAGATGAGACATCTCCATGATAGTGCCAGAAATTTAACTCACCAAGATTGCAATACCAGATTCCTTGTGGAACATTATTTTGCTCCAAAGGCCTCAATCAAGACAACTTCTTGAAAAGTCTTTGGTACCAGTCCCCTAGAAGTAATGATATCTCCTTCTTAGAGTAGGGGCACACAGTGATTATTCAGGCATAGAGACCCCTCCTCATGTGGAAGAAAGTCCCGAATTGTTAATTCATTAAAACCAAAGGTAAGCATCTCATTATGTTTTTTTGATTCAATAAAAATATATCTAGACCAATGAACTGTATGTAGGCTTTCTGTATCAGAAGGTGGTTCTTACTTTATTAGCTCACAAAAGCCACCCAACTAAACCCTTACATATTGATTGATAGCTTCTGAATTAAAGCTTTACACTTCCTAGGAAGTGGGACAGCAGACACTGGAAACCATTCAGTTACAACCTGCTCTATCAACAAACTGGAAGTTGGCTGAGTCAAGCACAGTGTGGGGTGGAGATGGCATCCAGAGGACTTTTTTGTTCCCAGAGGAACCAAAAACTGACTGCTCTATAGAACAGTAGAACCAGCTGCTCTAAAAAGCATGCTCAGCTTTATCAGATCTGGAGATACAAAACCCCTCTTCAACTGAACAGTCTCATCCCCATGAGCTGAGTTTCTCAGTTTTGAAAAGTCAAGTTTCTGAGTCTACAAAGTGAAATTTTTCTTGGCTGACATCTTTTTTTCTTCACTACTGACAGGACATTTATAAAGTAGAATGTCAAACACAGAGAGCTCTAAGATGTGGCTTTCTGATGAAAGTATTATATATCTTATGGGTTTTAGGGTGAAAGCTCAGGCAAATCCTATCTATCACGATGTACTATCACTTTTATAGTTGATGGGGCTTGAACTTGTAGTCCTCCTGCCTCAGCCACCCAGGGTGCTGGGATTATAGATGCATGCTACCACACCTGGCTTGAAGGTTTGAAAATACTTTTGTTTTAGTACATTGAGCCAAGGGCCTTTGCACTGGGCTACATTTCCAGCCCTTTTTAATTTAATTCTTTAAAATTTTGAGGCAGGGTCTTCATTAGTTGCCCAGGCTGGGCTTGAACTTGTGATCTTCCT